AAAGTCGTGAAGTAACTTGTCTAGAAATCTTTTGATTTTCATTTATTTTTAATTATTCAATGTTCAATTGTTGCTTGTATTTTATTTCATTGTAATTCCATTTCAGGTTCATTTTGCTTATTGTAATTGTTATTTTCAGCTTTTCATTTTGATTTTATTGATTCCTTCAGGGATTTCAAGTCATTTTATATTATATAAGACAATGGAAGTCCCAACTGATGAAATTCACCAAGAAACATTGTCAACCATCTGCAAACAAAGGAGAAAATATGTAACTTACATAGTTATCCAGCCACCAACAGAAATTTCCGTTTCCGTGTCCTTGGAATAGCATTGTCGTTCCGTGAAATTATGTTTGTAGAATATCTTCGAAAAATCCTTCAATGTACAGTGATTGCTCAAACAAAATCCAGTGTACATACCAAACGTATCATTTCGCACAAATTTCAAATGAACGAGTGGAAAATTCTACATGAATAAATTATTGCTAAATGTTAAGCCTTCCCTGGGAAGAAATAAAAACTACAACACTTACTTTGCTGTCTCCTATACCAATGTATCCCAGACAGTATTTTCCCAAGTGACTATCTTCATTGATGGTTTCGACATGGTTATAGCATTGATCGAAATTTCCTAAATCGAAAAAATTTCCATTACCGACTCCATCCGGAATTTTACTAGATGCATCAAAAACTGAAATGAAATTTAAATTCTCAACAAACTTATATGAACTTTTTTATGCTTGCAGATTTGAAAAATTTTGCCTTAGATGGTGACAGACAGATTTTTCTCTATTCTCGTGTAAAACAAGTTCGGTTAATTGTCATCAATTCATGTATACATAACAAACTCATCATGGAGTTTAACTTTTCTGATACATTTTCACTTATATGGACATTTTTAGAGAGAAATTAAAAATTTGCTATAAAAATCACTTGGCTATTTTCTTAAACAAACCTTTGATTTCGAAAAACCAGAGGCAACTAAAAAAAATGAATTTCGATAGAACTATTATTATTATTATAAATTGTAAACAACATTAATATTATAGAAAATACAAATGGGTACAGAAAATTACTTAATGATCTAAATGAGGTTGTCAAACACTTATAGCCTACATTTCAGTATGTTGTCCTCCACGTTCAATACAAATTATGGTCCTTCTACTGACATCTGTAACTGCATTTTCAATAAATCGGGGATTTATATTTGCACAGCACTCGCGAATGGTATTTTCCAGATGTTGTATGTCAGTAAATGGTCTACTTCGGTACACTTTTTGTTTCAGGTAACCCCAC